ACAAATAATAAGAATAAAAATTTGAGAGAAACAATTTTGAAATGAGAAGAGCAATATGCAAGAAGATACCTCGTTCTTATACCCTTCGTGCTCTCAGCTGTCTCTCCCTTCTTCAAAGCAAGTGATGAAGGTCTAAGCTTGCTTTTCGCCAATTCAATCACACTTTGGCACTGCTCATCAGTAGCAAAATTAGGAAAATAAACGGCCCGTGGCTTCCAGCTCAAAATCTGCACAAACACATAAAGTTTCCATTTTATGAAATAATATCCAAAATCCAACTTCGCCCATATCGATTACCAGTGAAAACACATTTACATCCAACTTCACCCATATCGATTATTTTGGAGATCATGAAAAATCTCCAAAATCCTAACCATAATTGCAGTGAAAACACATTTACTTGCTAAGAAGTCCAATACTATTTACCAAGCAATTCATAACCATAATCAAGAATCGAACAATAATCGCACCAAACAGATAGAATGTAACTGAACTCTCCCAAATCCCAAATCAAATCCAAAAAATTGGCATTTGAGAGGTGACCTGAAATGGGATAGAGGCAATGACAGATTCTCCAGTTTCACCATGAACCATCGGGTCGCCTTCTTCGCGTAACTCTTCAGCCAATTTATGCCTAAACCCATTCTTATTTATATCCTGCACGAACAATATCGACACTATTTTTTCACCATATCCACAATAACCACCGCAACACACACAAAGCAGAGTCGAAATGAATACAAATTAGGGCATATGAAGAGAAGGAACGAACTTTTACCTGGGATAAAATAATGGATCCAAACATCCCGGCAAGAAAGAAGCAGAAACACAGGAAGAAAACGATGGGGGGCCTTAGCTTGGCTTTCAACACCAAAACCCTTTTCCCTCTGTACTTCATAATTGGGTTGTGGATCTGATCGGAATTTGTCAACGGGAACGAATTAGGGTTTTTTTCATAGATCAGTCCCAATGTTTTTGAGAAAATGCTGAGGAATTGAAATGAGGCATTGAGGCTGTACCGATCAGAGGATGACGGAGGGTGTCTATGGCGGGAGGATGTTTACTTGGGTTTGGCGTTGAAATCTATTTTACATTATTTTTAGTTTAATAAAATAAAATATTGTAAAAGATGAATTACATATCAATTGAGGATCGATTATTACTTATTAGCCTTGAAAGATGAACCACGAAAACGATATGACAGAGGAAAAAAATAATAAAAATTATAAATAATAGAAATGAATGTCTAGGATGACCAATTACGTTTTTTTTTTAGAGGTCAAATTTAATGATAAAATTGTACAAAATAAAATTATTATTAAAAAATAAAAAAATCTTTTAAATATAGAAAAATTAAAATTAATAATTATTTTAACTAGCAAAAAGATAAATTAGACAAAAATGACAAAGAATTCAGAGTTACCATTTGTGAGGAGAGGTAATGCAAGCCTGAGACGACCGTCTATGTTTTTTCGAGGCGGCAAGTTTAATGATAGAATTGAAAAAAAAATAGATTATTATCATTATAAAACAATAAGTGAAAAACAACAATTGAATATATATAATTAAAAAAATAAATTTAAAAAAAAAAAAAATAGACATTTTTAATAATTTTAGAATTACCGTTGCTAACGTTGTTTAACAACGATGTCGAGGGTGCATTTTCATCATTGTTCTTTGTAAGATCAATTAAAGACAATAAACTGCTCCAATATGCATTTTTTATGTGAGTTATGGAACTATATTGCGACGAACGTTGATAATTTGGGAATGAAACACCTAACATTAAAAATTAATTAATAGTCAATATAAAAAATACATGTTATAATTCAATGATTGTAATAATATTATAAAATATACAACAATAAAAAAAAAATATACCAGTTTCTTGAATGATAGAATCCGGTCTTTGGAATGAAGGTGTTAGCTTAGACACATCTGATGTTGTAACTATAATAATAAAAATTAATATAATTAAATTATGCACTATATTTTTATTTTAATATTTCAAATACAACATCTACCTTTTCTGTAAGGCAAAACTTACTATTTTAAAAACGTGTGATAAAATTAAATGGAGCAAACACAAAAACATGAAATTTTTTGTAATATAACAATCACTATTATGTGTACTAAACTTATACATGTAATGATTCTACTTGTGTAAATGAATAATATTTGTACTACAATTTAAAACATGTGAACCCAAATTTTTAAAAGCATAACGTTTGGACAATTAAAAATCGGGCCAGTTTTTAAAAACTGGGCTGCATTTAAAAATATTTAATAAATAGATAAATAAAAATTGGGCCAGTATTTAAAGTTTTTATCCAGCCCAATTTGGAGGTTTCAGATCCGACGAGGTTATATTTATTGAGTGAGTTTGAACTTATATGTTGTAATATGTGACACTGAAATATAAAATTAACACGTATTGTACTTATATCTCAGAGTCATGCAATATAAAATAACCTGAACCCTAACATTTTTGGTAAATCTTCGTCATTTCTCTCTCGAGTTTTCTCGCTGCCTCTCTCTCCATCTCCCTCTCTCTAGCTTTCTTTCTTCCGTTACAAACTGTAATTCTCAGCTTTTATTAAAAGATTTTATGTCGAGAATGAAGGAAAAATTAATGTTTTAATAGTGAATTTGTTTAGTTGAAAAACCAAAAAACCAAAAAATCGCTAAAAACACACCTAAAATTTTAGTTTTCAGGCAAGAGAGAGATCGAAAGAGCAAAATCGATCTAATTTTTCAAAACCGACTTACTGAGTTATAGTATTTCGGTTCAAATCGGTCGATTACAAAAAGATCTATCAAGATTTAGAAATTTAAAAAACATATATATTTTTTTTATTAATAAATAGCAAAATCGACCGAATTTTAGAAAATCGTAACTGATTTATAGTATCTCTGTCAAATTTGTCGATTACAAATAAGATCTACCAAAATATAAAGCTTTGCATTTTTTATAAGATCTATGCATTGCGAATATTTTATTGTTCAGTTTTTAAATGGAAAATAGAATGTTATAACAGATCTACTAAGATTGTTATGAGTTTTGTTTCGAAATTTTGAGGTATATTATGATAGCTTTGTAGATTTATTAATAATTTGTAAAAAGAGTGCAATAATTTAAAAGATCTATTAAGATCTAAAGAAATTTTATATGTATTTTTTTAAAAAAACACAGATCTCTGTCTAATTCAAATATGCTTTCTTTTATTTTTTTATTTTTTATTTTTGTTAACTATTAACAAATCTAGTGCTAAAACCTTTTTTTTTTTTTTGGGGNTTGTGGGGGATTTAATATACTATTTACAAATGTAGTTAAATATTGACAGATCGAGTGCTAAAACAATATTTTTTGAGAAATTTAGTATGACTTTACACATGATGACCGTATGTTTCAAAATTTTTGTTCGCATATTTGAGTTAACTAAAAAATTATGTTAAATCAAACAACTGTAACGTCTACAATAATTGCTACAATATTGAATACAGTAAATAAGTTCTTGCCAACTTTAACACAATCAAACATTAATACCAAAGACTTATATATTTTGTGAAATAAAAAAATAAAAAAATATAATAAATTGAAAAATAACGTCTTTTGGCGGGAATGCCACGTAGGTAAAATTAAATAGGTTTTATTTATTGCTTATAGCTAGTAATTATATATACTAGTATTTGATCCTGTGCATTTGCACAGATATAAAACACGTTTTTGTTTGTATTTATTAATTAGACATGTACTTCTATCATATAAAAATTATTACTTTTTCTTTTGGAGGGTAAAAATGTAACTCCTTTTTAGACATGGTAATTCTATCATATTAATTAGATTAGTGAGTAATTAATTAAAAAAATGTAACTCTTTTTGGAGGGAAATGAAAAAAGGTTTTATTAAATGCATCAGCTAGTAATAATATATACTAGTAATCAACCTGTGCATTTACACAGAAAAAAAATACTTTAAAAAGCAATATAAAAAAAAACAAAAAAAAAATCATAATTTAATACATGAAAAAAAAAATAAATTAAGAAAATAATTCTCAAAATTGATTTTGATCAAGTAATTGCTATGGAAGAGCCGTTACAACCATTTTCTTTATGCTAATATACCCAGCCATTTTCATGAATAAGTGTGACTTAAAATTTGAGTACAATTTTATAATTCCCTTGATTGGTTTATACTCATAATTTATGGCATTCAAGCAAGTTATTTTGTAACTTAAAAATGAAATTGAATGATAAAAATTTTGGAGGAAGAATAAAATTTAATGCATGATAATATAATTTAATGCTTTGTTGCTCCTCTTTGTTGCAAGATATAAATATAGATTACATATCAATTATGTAAAAGATGATTAATTATCAGTTCTATATGCAAGATAAAATTATTAATTTGGACCTTAATTATATAAAACTATCAATTTTAAAACTTAAATATTATTGATAAGAAAATAAATAAAAACATTTCAATATAAACAAAACCTGAAAATATAAAACAAAGAAAAGAATCAATAATTTTTTGTAGGACGAATTAGTTATAACAATGTATAAATAAAAAAAAATCTTCAGATAAATAAAAGTAAAGAGATATGAAAAATTTATGTTTCGGTCCCATATGAAAATAAAAACACTGTCGATGCATGAAATTATAACCTTTATGTCATGAATTGATACTTGATTAATCTCAAATCAATTAAAATTTTCTTTCAAGTTTCGAATTGATAATTTACTCATTTTTCGAGATTATATAGGTTTATTACCAATAATATGTTATTTAAACATATAACTTACTAGATATTCAATTTGATATAACTCATAATAATAAATTACCAATAATATGCTAATGAAACATATGAATATGATATCATTATAATGCCTTAAAGTCAATTTTGTGGGAAGTTTCTTCACGTAAAGGTGTACTGGTCGAGAAATGCTATGGAGCCAACCACAAATGTTATAGTGTCACGTAGGCCATGTGAAAAAATAATTAACTCCACATAATGCTATGGAGCCAACCACAAATGTTATAGTGTCACGTAGGCCATGTGAAAAAATAATTAACTCCACATAGCCTACGTGGCATTATAATATTGGTGATTGGCTCCATAGCATTTCTCTGTACTGGTCTCCATTAATAAGTGCCACAGATGGGAAAATGATAGGTAACTACTGGCTACATTGGTTCTTTTACCTTGAATAGTATACAAGTAAGATTAATATTAGAAAGACCTAATTGTTGAGCTATTATGCATTTTTT